TGGAAAGGTCTTGTAGTAGGATTTTGAAGCAAGGGGAGGAAGTGCTTGGACCAGCATTCCCAAAGGCCCACTCTGGCTGTGCTGTGGAGAATGGATTGTTGGTGGGGGCAAGAATGGAGATCGTGAGAAGAGGTGGTGGTTTGGTTTTGTTTTGTTTGAGACGGAGCCTTGTTCTGTTGTCCAGGCTGGAGTGCAGTGGTGCGATCTCGGCTCACTGCAACCTCTGCCTCCCAGGTTCAAGCGATTCTCCTGCCACAGCCTCCCAAGAGGCTGGGACTATAGGAATGCGCCACCCAGCTAATTTGTGTATTTTTAGTAGAGGCAGCGTTTCACCATGTTGGCCAGGCTGGTCTCAAACTCCTGACCTTGTGATCCGCCTGCCTCGGCCTCCCAAAGGGCTGGAATTACAGGCGTGAGCTGCCACGAGCAGCCTGAGGCAGTGGTTTTCGTCCAGGCAAGAGATGACAGTAGTTGGGCCAAGGTGATGGCAGAGTGACGGGGCTTTGTGGCCAGACATGTTGGAGGCAGAATGGATGCTGTCTGGCTGGTGAAGGAGAGGGAGGGACTTGTGGGTTTCTGTTGGGCTTTCATGTCTGACTTCATTTGAATAAAGTGTCACTGATAAAAATGGTCCAAAAGCCATCTTGCTGACCTCCTTGGTCCCTCTCAGTCTGATTTTACATCAATGTGCCTTGGAGGTCAGCAGCCCTGCCTCAGACTCAGAACCTCAGAACTGTAGCTAACGTCACTCCCTCTTCTCACCCCAGATTGACGAGATGCCTGAAGCTGCCGTGAAATCAACAGCCAACAAATACCAAGTCTTTTTTTTTGGGACCCACGAGACGTGAGTGGAGGCCAAAGGGGCACAGGTTGGGAGGGCCCTGGGAGGACCACTCTGGGGGAAGAGAGGTGGTGTTGGTGCCCCTTTTGAGTCGGGCTGTACAGCTCCGGGGCAGTGAGGGGCTTGAGAGCACAGTCTCCCATCTCTCACCAGGGCATTCTTGGGCCCCAAAGACCTCTTCCCTTACGAGGAATCCAAGGAGAAGTTTGGCAAGCCCAACAAGAGGAAAGGATTCAGCGAGGGGCTGTGGGAGATCGAGAACAACCCTACCGTCAAGGCTTCTGGCTATCAGGTGAGCCACCACCTGCCCCGAAGACCCCCTGGAACGCAGATGTGGCCATGGGCCCGCAGATGATGCTTAGTCTTCAGAAACTGCAGGCCTTTCAGGGTAGGAGCTAATGGGGTGGTGGGGAGGGGGCTTCCTGCAAGAGGGGATAGGGTTGGTCTGTGTGGTATAGTTGTGGTTAGGGACAACTGTGAGACAGCAGTCTAGGGGGCAAGAACAGGATGGAGGCGGTAAGTGGGGACAGGCCTTTGATGGGCCCAGTGTGAGTATAGGACACGGCCTTAACTCTTTCCACGAAGGCTTCCAGGAGGAGGTGCTTGTGAGCCGGGCAGGACGAGGCGGGAGGGTGGGGGGCGGGGGTTGGCGGGGAAAGGGTCCTAGCTCCCTTTGGGAGAAGTTGACCCGAGGTTTTGCCTCCTGCTCCAGCCCTCCCCCCTCCTGCACAGAGCCCTGCCTGCCCGGCCAGTGGGTTTATCCCGGGGCTAATCCGACAGAGGTGGGTCTCAAATCACTCGTGAGACTGGGCACCTGGGTGGGGGCGGGGGAGAGGCGGGAAAAAGAAGGAGTGAGTGGCCGAGGGAGGGGTCTGGGGAGGGGGCCCCAGCGTGGCATCGACTGGTGCCACTCAGCCTGTGCTGTGTCTGCTGCAGTCCTCCCAGAAAAAGAGCTGCGTGGAAGAGCCTGAACCTGAGCCCGAAGCCACAGAGGGCGACAGTGATAAGAAGGGGAATGCAGAGGGCAGCAGCGACGAGGAAGGGAAGCTGGTCATCGACGAGCCAGCCAAGGAGAAGAACGAGAAGGGAGCGCTGAAGAGGAGAGCAGGGGACCTGCTGGAGGTAACTGCTACCTGCCCAGGGCCTGGGTCGCCCTCAGCATTCCCCATGGGGCATCCCACAGGAGCAGGGCTCTGCCTCAGGGGTGCCCAGTCTCAGAGGTAGATCCAGCCTTCAGTCTTGGGGAGTCCCCAGCTGACAAAATGGGACACAGAAGGCATTTCAGCTAGTAGGGCTGGGGAAGGACTGTGGGTGTCAGCTTGGGAAGGCGCCCCAGAGAAGCGGAGTGGGCGGCTGGTGGCCTCCCTCTCCAGCCTCAGCCCTCCTCTGTTGATCCTGCCTAGGACTCTCCTAAACGTCCCAAGGAGGCAGAAAACCCTGAAGGGGAGGAGAAGGAGGCAGCCACCTTGGAGGGTGAGAGGCCCCTTCCTGTGGAGGTGGAAAAAAATAGCACCCCCTCTGAGCCCAGCTCTGGCCGGGGGCCTCCCCAAGAGGAAGAAGAAGAGGAGGAAGAAGAGGAAGAGGCTGCCAAGGAAGATGCTGAGGCCCCAGGCGTCAGAGATCATGAAAGGTGAGTGAGCCCCCTGACCCTTGGCAGCTGGACTGGGGGTGCCTGGCCACTTGGAGAGGAGGAGAAAAAGGGCCCACAGTGGTCAGCCTCGAGGGAGGCGGGGTGGGCACTCCTGGGCACTGGCTGGGGCAAGGCCGCACCACTAACCCTTCTCCCCTCCAACCCCCCTCACAGCCTGTAGCCACCAATGTTTCAAGAGGAGCCCCCACCCTGTTCCTGCTGCTGTCTGGGTGCTACTGGGGAAACTGGCCATGGCCTGCAAACTGGGAACCCCCTTTTCCACCCCAGCCTGCTCTCCTCTTCCACTTACTTTTCCCACTCCAAGCCCAGCCCATGGAGATTGACCTGGATGGAGCAGGCCACTTGGCCCTCAACTGTAGGTCCCCATACTCCTGTGATCTGAGTCAGAGCTGTCTTCTGCTCCCTGGGATGAGATGAGGCCACTGTGTTCCTTCCACGTGGAGCTATTTTCCAGGCTTTTGCTGGGGCCTGGGCCAACTGCTCCCACCTCCTGACAACCTTCTTCCACTGTCCTGGGCATTCTGGACCTCCGGGTTGGGATCAGGGGTAGGAACGGAAAAGATGGAGCATAAACAGCAGGGTGGGCTTGTGGGGCCTGGGAGGGGCAATCCTCAAATGGGGGTGGGGGCAGCACTGGAGCGTGACATCTTCCTGAGCTCCTGTCCCCTGCTACACCCGTTATCCCAGCTGCCTAGATTCAGGGAAAGTGGAACAGCTTATAGGGAAGAGACTCCCTTCCATAAATCCTTGATGGTTGACAACACCCATTTTTCCTTTTGTTGACCCCAAGAGTTGTGGGAGTTGTAGTTGATCATCAAAAGATTTTGGGGCTTCCAAGTTGTTTGGGCCAAGGACCTGAGACCTGAAGGGCTGACTTTACCTATTGGGTGGGAGTGTTGAGCATCTATCCCCCTTTAGATCTCTGAAGCCAGAAATGGGACGCTTGGGAAGACCCCTAGCTGCCTTTTCCCTCTCCACACAGTGCTCAAGGCCAGCTTATAGTCATATATATCACCCAGACATAAAGGAAAAGTCACATTTTTTAGGAAATGTTTTTAATAAAAGAAAATTACAAAAAAAATTTTAAAGACCCCTAACCCTTTGTGTGCTCCCCATTCTGCTCCTTCCTTCCCCATCATTGCCCCCATTTCTGAGGTGCACTGGGAGGCTCCCCTTCTATTTGGAGCTTGATGACTTTCTTTTTGTAGCTGGGGCTTTGGTGTTCCTTCCAGTGTCATTTCTCATCCACATACCCTGACCTGGTCCCCTCAGTGTTGTCACCAGATCCGATTTGTAATCCGCTGAGAGGACAGAGGGAAATAAGTGCCCCCTCCCACCCTTTTCCTAATGATCTCTCTATGCCTCTCTTCAGTCTCTTGTCTCTATTACCCTGACCCCTCTTCCTTGGGCTCTGATGAAAAATTGCTGACTGTAGCTTTGGAAGTTTAGCTCTGAGAACCGTAGATGATTTCAGTTCTAGGAAAATAAAACCCGTTGATTACTAATGATGGATTCTGACTGATTCTTTGGGGGTATATTGGTTAACTGAAGACAGAAAGTGGGTTAAGAGATAAGAGAATGCAGATGATTTCCAAATAATCTCAGATCGAGGTAGAGGTGTCAGCCTCCTCCGTTCTTAGGCGTTTGAAAATCCAAACTTCCACATGTGGGCAGTGTCCTGGAATAAACCACACCATTCATTCTACCCTCCTCTCCAGCCACTGTTTAATGCACCTGGGAGAGTGTTTTTTTAAAAAAGAGTTTGCACAAGAAGTAGGATGTGGGAGGATGCCAGTATCAGCCACAGCCCAAAATGGCCATGAAGTGGGAGTTTGGGGGCTGGTTGTATAAACAACCTCGACCCCAAAGGGCAAGTCAAATAAGAAGATAACCCTTTCTCCTTGCTAATGCCAGGGGTGCCTGCTACTCTTAGCTGGTGATGGGGTGGTAGGGAGAGGGCGTTGGTAGGGTGAAATCCTTCCATTACTCCCGGAGTAAGTGGAATGACTGGCTTAGATCATTTCTGCTTCCTTCCAGATCTGACATTTTCTAACTAGATCGGCTACTAGCATTGGAAGGGCCCACGTTTCATCCCTTCCTCTAGAAAGCCGACGGCAGTTATTGAATCTGCCCTGCCCCCACTCCAGCAGAGAAGGACAGGGAGAACATTGGCTGTAGCCCTGTCTGGAAAGGGCGGCCCTTTGCTTTGAACAGGAAGCCACAACCACCTAGAAAATGGAGCCATCTTCTCTAGAAACTACAATTCCCAGCGGCCTCCACGCAGAGCATGCGCGGGAATGTGCCAGGCGGGCCGGCCTAACCAGCTTGCCTTTCGATTCCCGACATGCTTCACGGTGTGTTTTCGTTTTCCTGATTTCCTACCCCGGCCAAACTTCCTGGTTCCAACTTCGTAGCTGCGGACTACAACTCCCAGCATGCTGAGAGGTAAGATGCGTGGTTGAACTTCCGTTTTACAATTGGACTACATCTCCCAGAAGGTGGACGGGCGTGGCAGGGGAGGGGACGCTGAGGGCACATGTGCTGAGCTCTTGAAGTGCCGCGGAAAGTGGAGGTGAGGGCCGCCCGCCTCAGAGGTATTGCAGTTCCGGGGCTCGTCCGAGAGGCAGGTGCGAAAAGGGCCTATCCTTTTCCCAGGCTGTGGCTGAGTCGCCTCCCCAGGGTTTCTCTGCACTGGAAGTTTGGAGCGGGTGGGTGCTGAAGACAGCTAGGCCTTGGCGATGCCTGGGATGAGGCTGTTGGGGGAAAGCCTTTGGAGCCGTGACCTTCGACCCCATTACATTGCAAGGCGCCTCCAGAACATGCAAGGAAAGCCCCACAGCGGGATGCTCACCAACAGCATCTCCAGATTGTGGAGGGAAAGAAGCGAACGATCTCGGGGGCATGCAAGCTGCTATGGTCTGGGCTGGTTCAGACCTGGCATGACAGGTGAAGGTGATTGCTGCTCCTTGCAGCAATCACGCTGGAGGCTTGGGTTTTAAAATTGGCCCTGCTCCTGCTCCTGCTCCTGTCAAGCTGTAGGAACCAGGGTAGACACTCCGGCTCTCAAGGCCTTGATTTCTTTGTCTGTAAACGGGACTTGATGATGCGTCTGGCAACCTCACTTCCCTCACTGGGCCATATGAAGGCCAAATGCCCGCCGTGAAATTCCCAGCATTAGGTTTGTCATATAGTAGTACTCCCTAAGCATTTGTTCAATCTGAACAGGAACACTTAGGCCAATCAGCATTAATTGAAAATAACAGGGTTTTTTTGTTTGCTTATTTCTTTTTCTGAAAATAACATCAGGCCTTTACAACTGAGAAGTATAAAGAAGAAAAATGACCCAGTATCTCACTGTTCAGATAAACTGCTAATACATATTTTTAAATGCACATGGTTAGAAAATGTAAATGTAAAGGGAAGGAACAAAATGGAATTAACAGACCTCCCAAACAGTTCCCCTTCCCTAAGACAGGTACTTTGCTTTCTTGTTTCCTTTCCATAAATATACCTGTGCTGGAATATATATTTGTATATTTCCCCCGAACGGAGACTACTACTCACGGTATTCTGCACCTTGCTTTGTTAAAATATTTAAAATTTTTTAAATTCATTAAATTATTAAATGGTGGCTCACGCCTGTAATCCCAGCACTTTGGGAGGCCAAGGCGGGCAGATCACGAGGTCAGGAGTTTAACATGGTGAAACCCCATCTCTACTAAAAATGCAAAAATTAGCCAGGTGTGGTGTCGCATGCCTGTAAAGTCCAGCTACTTGGGAGGCTGAGGCAGGAGAATCGCTTGAACCCAGGAGGTAGAGGTTGCATTGAGCAGAGATGGCACCACTGCACTCCAGCCTGGGGGCTACAGCAAGACTCCATCTCGAATAATAATAATAACTTAAATGGCACAACCCTGTAAATCTTTATGGATGATGAAACTGAAGCTCAAAAGTTAAGTTTCAGGCTGGGCATAGTGGCTCACCCCTGTAATCCCAGCACTCTCGGAGGCCAAGGCAGATGGATCACCTGAGGTCAGGAGTTTGAGACCAGCCTGGCCAACATGGTGAAACCCTGTCTCTACTAAAAATACAAAAAAAAAAAATCCAAAAAATTAGTTGGTCATGGTGGCACATGCCTGTAATCCTAGCTACTTGGGAAGCCAACATAGGAGAACCACTTGAAACCCGGAGGTGGAGGTTGCGGTGAGCCAAGATCGCACCACTGCACTCCAGCCTGGGCAACAAAGAGCAAAACTCCATCTCAAAAAAAAAAAAAAAATGTTTCTTCCCTTGTCTCTTTGCTCCCCTGTTTCTATCCATCTACCTAGAACTGACAAGGAAGATTTCTGAGCCTTTTGCTGGCAAAGGGATTTCTTACACCCTCCAGCCATGCGTCTTTCTGCCCTTCTGGCCTTGGCATCCAAGGTCACTCTGCCCCCTGGTTACCGCCATGGGAGGAGCCGCCAAGGCTCCCTGGCAGACAAGAGGAGCAGGCAGCGCCCAGTGGTTGTGGAACCCATCTCTGATGAAGACTGGCATCTGTTCTGTGGGGACGTGGTAAGAGCCTCATACGGGGGTAGAGTGATGGGGAGCCTCCTGGGCAAGGATCCCCCTCCCTAACCTTCGTATCTTCCCACAGGTGGAGATCCTAGAAGGCAAGGATGCTGGGAAGCAGGGCAAAGTGGTTCAAGTTAACCGGCAGGAAAACTGGGTGGTTGTGGAAGGGCTGAACACAGTAAGTAAAGAGGATGGGGATGCTTGGGAAGCCTGTCCCATCTGGCCCTCTCCATTCAGAGCAGCACAGGGTGGCAGGAGGCTGCCTGAGGGGATGGTGGCACTACTGAAACTTTTACTTTTCAACTTAGGGTGAATGTGCTGAGTAGCAAGGGCAAACCCGTTTCACACCCTTTGCTGACACTCCCCTCTTTATTTATTTATTTATTTTTTATTTTATTTTATTTTGACACTCCTGTCTCTTGAACAGTATTACCGCTACGTTGGCAGGACCCAGTATTCCCGGGGAACCATGATCCCTAATGAAGCCCCCTTGCTCTACCGCCAGGTCAAACTTGTGGATCCTATGGACAGGCAAGCAATGGGGCTCTGGGCAGAGGGTTTCTCACCCTCTGGGTCCACAAAATACTGTACAATGGGAATGGTGGGTTGGATGCTCTAGAAATTGAGAGGGGCCATCTCATGGACATGACTCCCTGTGGGTAACCCCAACCCCGAGGCGGAGAAACATGGTGGTAACCCTAGTGTTCTGAACTATTGACTGCTTTTGGATTAGAGGACGGCAGGAAACCTGACTCATAGGCCAGGCTCACCTCTTCTATCCACCAGGAAACCCACTGAGATCCAGTGGAGATTTACTGAAGCAGGAGAGCGGGTACGAGTGTCCACACGATCAGGGAGAATCATCCCTAAACCCGAATTTCCCAGAGCTGATGGCATCATCCCTGAAACGTGGACCGGTGAGAGCGAGGGGCGGGAAGGTCCAGGGCAGGAAAGTCCAGGGGGTTGCTAGGAGTGAAAGTAGGGGATGTTAATGAAAGTGGGCAAGCCCTCCTACTCATCTCCTTTCCTCTGACTTAACAGATGGTCCCAAAGACACATCAGTGGAAGATGCTTTAGAAAGAACCTACGTGCCCAGTCTAAAGACACTGCAGGAGGAGGTGATGGAGGCCATGGGGATCGTGGAGACCCGGAAACACAAGAAGGTCTATTGGTATTGAGCCTGGGGAGAGCAGCTCCTCTCCCACTCTGTCCCAGCCTTGAAGGCTGAGGCACCCCTTTTTCAAATGCCAATAAAGAACTGTTTATGAGTCTTTCTGTGTACAGCTGCTGTCTCTGGTAGAATGGTACTAATCCCAGCACACTCTCAGGGACTGAAGGGAAGGAGCGTCTTTCCTGAGTTTATGACAGAACCTGGATGGAAGTTAGCCAGCCTTAAGGCAGCCCTCCAAAGGGGCAGAGCCTGCAGATTCTGGGTTGGAGGTCAAAGTCAGTAAGAGAAGTCCCCTCCATGGAGATCTGTGAGTAACAGAAACTGTCACCTACACCACCTACCAGGGAGGGCAGTGGGGAGTGGTCTGTGAGTCCTAACTGTAGCATCCCTGCAGCAGTGCCATAGGGAGGGTGTGCATTTCCTTTTATCTACCTACAGAAATGGGAAGGAAACAAAGATTTCCAATTTTTAATAAATTAAAACTTTACACTGTATTACATAATTCATGGAGGGAAAGAAAAGGGATGGAACTGAAGGTTTGTGGGGAACCAGGCTTCAGGACAATGCAGGATGCTGGTTCTCTGGGTGAGGTGTACTCTGCCACACTGTGCAGATGATGGGGTCTGAGATGTATCCTCAGGCTGCATCAGCTGTCTTCAGTCTCCAGAACAGAGAAAGCCTGACCCAGGGGCATCTTGGTGGCCACCAGAACCAGGTTTCTGGGAGAGAGTTCAGGACTGAAGATGGGCAGGAGCTCAGCATGGAAGCCTGGGAGAAAGGAAGGGCTGAATCAGAGGGGGAAAAATGAACCAAACTCATTCAGCCTCTTCTGCCCAGGCCTGTAGGTATAGTCCCTTTTCCCCATGGGAGAGGATCCAGTGGGGCTAAGAAGACCCGTTCTCCATAAGGAACACAGGTTCCCAAGGCAATGACTTGGGAGGCAGTCCTCTTGCATTGTAGGTCCTCAGTGCCTGGGAAGCTTGCTTAACACGCGCACCTTAGGGAGGCTCACCAGAGGCTGATTTGGTAGGAATCTTAATTTTTTTTGAGATGGAGTTTCTGTTGCCCAGGCTGGAGTGCAGTAGTGCAATCTCAGCTCATTGCAACCTACGCCTCCCAGGTTCAAGCCATTTTCTTGCCTCAGACACCCGAACAGCTGGGACTACAGGCATGTTCCACCACCCCTAATTTTTGTATTTTCAATAGAGATGGGGTTTCACAATGGCTGGCTTCGAACTCCTAACCTCAAGTGATCTACCCACCCTGGCCTCCCAAAGTGCTGGGATTGTAGGCATGAGCCACTACACCTGGTCTAGATTCTTTTTTTTTTTTTTTTTGAGACGGAGTTTCGCTCTTGTTACCCAGGCTGGAGTGCAATGGCGCGATCTCGGCTCACCGCAACCTCCGCCTCCTGGGTTCAGGCAATTCTCCTGCCTCAGCCTCCTGAGTCGCTGGGACTACAGGCACGCGCCACCATGCCCAGCTAATTTTTCGTAGTTTTAGTAGAGACGGGGTTTCACCATGTTGACCAGGATGGTCTCGATCTCTTGACCTCGTGATCCACCCGCCTTGGCCTCCCAAAGTGCTGGGATTACAGGCTTGAGCCACCGCGCCCGGCCTAGATTCTTAATTTTAACAAATCCCCTACTCCCAACCCACTAGTGACTCAAAGGTGGGGTCAAAGAATCACAACAGTGATCAGCTGGGCCAGCTGAGACGTAGAGAAGGAGCCCCACAACTCCAACCCTGTGTCCCTGCTGTAGGCCACCCTTACCCTGCTCCTGTAGGTACAGCAACCGGTCCAGTAGAATAAGCGTCTCCACCAGTGGGGCTAGCAGTAAGGCCAGGCTGAAGAAGGCCACCACACGGTTCTCCTGGGCCTGGTGGGCCTGAAGGGCAGCCAGATTCAGTGGCAGCTGGGGGTCCAGCCCCACTCGCTGTAGCCCCCGCTGCACATATCTGTGGGATCAGTCACATTCAGTATTCAGTTTGGTTTTAAGAACTGTCACTTCTCACTTAAACTTTGCTTGTTCCTACTTCAATTCCAACTTTGTTTTGTCTTCTACCCTAATATGCGTTTTCATGTATACATGTTTGTTTGTCTGTTTGTTTGGAGACAGAGTTTCGCTCTGTTGCCAAGGCTGGAGTGCAATGGCACGATTTCAGCTCACTGCAACGTCTGCCTCCCTGGTTCAAGCAATTCTCCCTGCCTCAGTCTCCCAAGTAGCTAGGATTACAGGCACCCACCACCACCCCTGGCTAATTTTTTTTTTTTTTTTTTTTGGTATTTTTAGTAGAGATGGGGTTTCACCATATGGGGGAGGCGGGTCTTAACTCCTGACCTGAGGTGATCCACCCACCTCGACCTCCCAAATTGCTGGGATTAGAGGCGTGAGCCACCATGCCTGGCCGTATACATGTATTTTTAAGACAGGGTCTTGCTGTCAACCAAGCTGGAGAGCAGCAGTGGGATCATAACTCACTGCAGCCTCACATACCTCAATCCTCCCACCTCAGCCTCCCAAGCAGCTGGGTCTACAGGTATGAGCTACCATGCCTGCCTACTCGTTTTGTATAGACAAGGTCTCTCTACATTGCCCAGGCTGGTCTCTAACTCCCAGCCCCAAACAATCCTCCTGCCTTGGCCTCCCAAAGTGCTGAGATTACAGGCATGAGCCACCATACCTGGCCATGCATTTTTTAATGTTTCTCGAGCTGTGAGCTGTCTGTCCAAAAGCAAATTTATTTATTTATTTATTTATTTATTTATTTAATTTTTAATTTATTTTTTTTTTTT